TCTTGTGCAATTCACAGCAAAAATTTCACAGTTATTAAAACAGTTTAAAGCAAGCGACTGCGCTCTTAAAAGGGTACTTAAAGCTTCGACTAACACAATTCTTTAACCTAAATAAGTCATAAAGTGTGTAGCGAAGAAAAAAGGGAAAAAATTAATAAAAATCTGTCGAAATGTTGGCACTAAGCGCGTTCTCTGCTTGGCTAATTATGGAGAGCATGTTAAAAGAGAGAGGAGCATAGAGAGAGTTGGTGAAATGTCAAAACGTACGCTTCATTGCTCTCTTCGTAGCTCGCTCTCTCTCTCTGTCACTCGCTCGCCTTGCTAAGATAACGACAACAAAATGCTGATGGCACAAATTATAGTCAAGAAAGAGGGTTGGGGGGAAAACGACCGAGCCAGAAGACGAGGCTCTAAAGCTGAAGACCGGCGGCAGGCAGTAGAAAGCTAGATCCGTAGCGACAGAGCCCCCAAGACGGTTGAAGCCGGCTGCCAGCAACAAACAGCCTGCCACTGCCAACTGCCACCGCCTGCCGCCTTGTCTCGAGAGCCCCACAATTTCCGCCATTTATGACAGTCACAAATCGAGTTATACTCACATACATATACCCCACCATACCCCACTGCTTCACCATAGAGTGAGCTCCACACAGCCTCTCCCCAAGACCGCGCGCGCGCTCGTACTTTCTAATTTTCTAAGCGTACTTTTTCTCTCTTGTTGGTCCCCTGGCCTGGCCTGGCTGCCGTTTTTGATGGTTTTAATACCCTAACAACCAAGCGAAAGACAGACCCAAGCATGGGTGTGCTTCACCAAGTCAAAGTGCTCTTTTGAGTAGGATTCAAGGAGTGTTTTACCGGAGCACCGAACGAAGAACCAAAGTAAGAACTTTAGAAAGTTCAGAGAAGTTATGTAAGAAGATCATAGTACACATTCAAAAAAGTTGAATTTTTTGGTCTATGGGACCTTTAGCCTAGAGCCGAATAATATTTTCGATATCGAAACAGAGCTTTAAAAAAATTGAAACAATTTCGAACTGTTTTTATGGCTGAACCATAATATGGTAAGTTTTAAATGCTATAATTTAGAGGACATTAATGGGAATAAGTAACCGTTTCGAAATTCTTTCTATAATTTACTCAACATTCAATCCTTGACTTTGTTAGAGCATCTCCGTATCGGTATCTCCTACACCATTTCTTTACCTTGATGACTATTGTATTTCTTTTCTTGTCATTACTTTTGTGTTGTACAAACAAGTTTTTGAGTGTTTCAATGTTGTCTTCAGCGCATGGCCAAAGTGTTAATGTTCATTTGCGCATGCGATATTCCAAATTGCATGCAATAGAAATTTGTTGTCGAGGTCACATCACAACGCTTTTCCAGCCAAGCATCAAAAAACCGTCACAACAGTCTCCATGCCCCATCTCCCCTCTACAACCGCAACATTCACAATGGCAGAACGGCAGCAAAGCAGCGAAATCTTTGGAGTTGAAGGAGGAGTTGGTTCTGTTTTTTTTTTTGGTAGCTAAGTGATGGGAGGTCAAATCAGTTACAGTTACGTGAGTGAGACTCTTTGGGCCGCAAGGAGAACGGTTGGCAGCCCGTTACGGGAGGCAGCCAGACCAAATGGAATATTTTTGGTTATGGACTTTTGGCTAAGCTAATGAACCTGATGTGGAGCATACTGTTGTGGAGGAGGAGGCTCTGCTCTGCTCTTTGGATAAACTTGTTCCAGACTAAAAGTTTAACGAAAAATGCACGAGCTAATTCATATATTTATGAGCTAATGGAGCATGCGCAATCGTTTTGATCTCTAATTTGAGGTTGAACTATCAAATTAGGGAGTTTACCTATACGTAATAGAGGGTGGAATTTACATTCCAGGCATATTTTTAAGAATTATGTTTGATTAGCCGAGGCTCCTGGAAATTTCTTTAACTCAAATCGAAGCTTGGGAAACTCTTTGATTAACAGATCTAAAATTACATCCACTGCGTAACAGTCATCCTCTAAGCGTTTTTAATCAAATTTCAGATCTTTATTGTAACATTTCTCCCAATCATAAAGCTTGTGCACATTTGATGACAACGATAACTGAATGAGTTATCGTTTGAGGCGGTCCCGTTTGCGATTACTGCCATGAATTGAACGAGCGAATGCATCCAAGAAATACTCGTTCCGTTCCATCTCAATCTACAGTTATTTCAAATCAATTTTCCAGGCTTGGAATACTTGGAATATTTTTTGATTTCAGTAATTTAGTGCAGCTCCCATTTGGAGTCGACTCCCGCTGCTTTTTTTTTTGCCCCTCTGTGTCTCATCTCTCTGCCACTGCCTCTTCCTCCTGCCTCTTCTAGTGGCTGCCGCATGCTCATGGCCGTTTGTCATTTCCAGAGGCGCGCCAATTGCCAGAGAGTGGCCTGCAAAGCATTTCTGTGCTCTCTGTGTGAGAAAATGTGGCCAAACGGTTAATAACAGGCGGCAGTCAGTGGGGTGTGGTGTGGTAGAGGGGGAGCCAAGGTGCGGCAACCGCAACATACGGCAGCAACGTGGCCCCCTGAAGGAAAAAGCGTGCGCAACTATGTAAGTATGTGACTATGTGAGCCGCTCCGACAGGAAACTTAAACTAGTTCTAGCAGCTAACAGCTAGTATCGCTGCTCTCTGTGTTCTCTGCCTTCTAGCCATCCGAAGCCATAAACTGGGACACTTGTTGCAGCAACCTGGACACTGCACTCGAGAGAGATTGGCTGGCAATCAAAACCTGGAGGCCAAAGAGATGACAAACAGAGACAACAACAACAGCAAAAAAAGCAAGGCAACGGAATCTTCCCACGCAGCTGTGACCGCCCTCCAGCTGGGAGCGGCAGCGGGCGGCCCCCAAAAAAAATATAAAGAAAAAGAGAAGCCAACCTAAATCGTCTTAATGGACCATGAAGAGCCCCAAGGAGCAGTTCCGAGATGCAGATGGCAGCAAACAGCAGGCGCATAAAGACAAAAACGCCGCCCAATTAAAGCAAAGAATGCGAGAATATTAGATGCACTTGCCGGACTAGCATAAAAGTGGTTTAAACTGGCTGATAGTTGATATTTAGTTGGGGATTGTGAGGCTTCAGAAGTCTCTTATCAGACCTCTGACTAAAGTTGTACCTTTATAATGGCAGATGTTTTATTTATTCATATATTTCTGCATTGACAACTTCTTAATAAAAGTGTAATACCCTCTGCACAGTGTATACAGTCAGAGACAGCCAGCCAGAGAGAGAGAGAGAGAGAGCGAGAAAGAGAGACGCAGCGCGGAGCCAAAAAGCCGTCGGCGATGTTTGCGTGGATAAGCCTAAAAGAAAGTTTTCTTCTTTCATTGACAAAAAAGTTTTTTACTTTGTTGTCTTTTATTTTCCGCCGCGTGCAACGAACCTGGTCTGAGATGTGGCCCCCCGTTAACCCATTGGAGACGTAACGTACGGAAATTTGGCATATACATATATTTTTTCGAATTTTTCTGTTAGATACGGATATCTATTGCATGTGAAATGTTTTCTAGAATTTTCCAAATGTTGTACAGCTGCCTCTCCACTTTATGTTAATAAGTTAAGCAGGCGGAAAATCTATTAACCCATTTGAAATGCTCTAAGATAGAAAATAGACTCTACTTTTAAAATGTTTTTTATTTCCAATTCTCCTGATAAGTACACCCCACTTTATTTCTCTTTAATTTCTCCAATCTACGTTAATGGGTTAAGGCTGCTGCGGCTGCCTCTAACTATGTATGCTGGGCCCCTGCCCCTAGCTGCTGCTGTTGGTTGTTTGCTGCGCTGACGCTTTGGCATTAGTTACAGTTTTCCGATACACGAAATTGACTTTACATATTTCAGGCAGCACAGCAGGGCAACGGTGCGGAGGGGGGCAGCAACAACCTGTTACATCGGCGCTGTTGCCCACCCCGCATGCCAGCACAGTCACCAGCATGCAGCCTCTTTCACTCCACACATATAAACACACACACACACATGTTGGTATTGATTTGCTGCACATTTCGAAATGCAGACAAGGTGTGTTTCTCGATCAGGTGCGTTGGTAATCCTTCTCCGAAAAGTTGCCTAATTTCTGCAATAATTTCTCTGCCAATATATAACTCATATCCATAACTGTAATTGTTGCAAATTATGTTGTTGTTGCGCTGGTGCTTCCCTGGGAATGCCTCACCTTCTTATTAACACACCTTGAAATTCTGCGCGCCTGCGCCACCGTCGCTGCTTTTACCTGTTGCTGTTGCTGCATCGTCGGCAGAGGCTGCTGGTTTTGTTTGATCTTGTGTCTTATTGTTGCACGTTGTCGTGTATCTTTCTGCTTGTTATTTGTTGGTTTTTCTCCCCATGTTTCTCCCTGATCCTCGGCCTCTTCCTCCCTCTCTTCCTCCTACTATTATCCCACTCCCGTTGTCTGTCTCTCTCTCTCTATCTTTATCTCAGCCTCCTGTCTCAGTTTCTCTTGTTCAATTTATTGGCGCATATAAATATAAATGCCTCAAAATTGATGTTATTGTCGTTCATTCTCCACTCCGATCCTGATACCACTCTTCAGATCTCTCTCTCTCTCTCTGTCTTTCCACATCTTCTTTAACCTTCCCCCTCCCTTTGTTTTTGTCCTGGTTGTTGTTTTTCTTTTTTTGAAAATTGATTTTTCTTTACTTGCATTTTTTTATTGTCAGTGTCCAGAGATAAGTGGTGGAAAGGAAGGGAAAATGGGCTTGGAAATGAGAAGAAAAAATGAGACAAAAGAAGTAATAAATATAATGGAAAGTGTGGGCGTAGCGCTGACAAAGTGGGCGTCACTGGTACCTCGAAAGAGAATAGAGCAATTTTCGGGATCAGACAGGGCGAGGGCATGGCGGGAATGGGTTAATTTCGAGTGGGCAGGGCCTCTGGGGGTTACGTGGGCTGTTGCTAGTACTTCCTCCAGTGGGATGCTTGGAAAATGGTAGCGTAACTAAATAAAACTAACCTTATGCACATGGCCATCGATGCATCGATGTGGTATTCCAATGTTGGTTCACTCTTTCTCTCTCTCGTTCTCGCTTCCCCTTTCAGCTTCTGCGCGCAAACAAAAACAAATCACAAATATTTGCGCATGTGCCGACGACTGCCGCATTCCAGGGATACACAACACTCACACACAGACACGGACACTGAGTGAGACGCGATGCGAAGCGATGCGACCGTTTTTGCGGCTAATTGTTTAAACAACACACAAATTATTTTTCACACTATTTTTATTTGTTTGTTTTATGGCTGCACACACACACACACACACATATACTCTTGCACGCTCTCACACACGCATTCAATTTTCGCGCACTCTTTGCATTTTTTCTTGTATGTATCTTTTATTGGCTGGCATTTTCCTGCCTTCCCGAATGCCCTTTTAGAGCCAAAAAGACGCGTTCGGTTCGCGTTGTTGCCTTTTGCGTTTTTGATTATTTTGTTTCTTTTTGCAAACTATAGAGGCGCGATATTCACAGCCTTAGCAGGCCAATACAGCCGGTGTCCGTCTCATTTGATGCGAATGCCACCCACCTTGATGACCGAAACGAATTAAAACATTAACAAATTGTGCAAAAAACAAGAAGCGCAGGCGCACCAACTACTCGCACCGAATCGAATTTGATAATTTTATGTAGCAGCTACTTTTGTTGAATAAACCAATTACTTTTGTGCTGAATTTAGGAAACAATTCGACATATCCGTGAGGTTGCTCATATCAATTACTATGATTTGTATTTGTATTTCACTTAGCCGCTGCCTCAAAAAGCCGGACTTAACACAAACACACGTAGTTTAACAAACATTTTAGTTACTCAATTATTTGCTTCATTTTTCGCGGCGTCCCGATCCAATAATTTTGTAGTTGTCCTTAGCTTGTTGGCCCTTTTGTTGTTAACACGAAACACAATTACATTTGAGCAAATGGGAGACGCGGATTTTGCCACCGAACGAACGAAAATTGAGAGATTGAGTGAATGATGGAATGAAGAAATTGAATAAATGAATGATAAACAAAACAACAAAAAGCGCTAATTGTGAATGGGCAATTTTGTCTATTGTGAATGGGAGTTTGTCAATTTCCCAAAACGGGAAGGGAAATGCTCTCCTGTTCGGTCAGTCGGGGAATTTCTGAGACACGAGAGATGTGATCGCTGACTTATCGATATAATATACCCGACGATATGTGATTTGAAAATCATATTTTGCTATTCGTTTTAAAACCACTAGCTAACAAAGCCTCTCAGCTCTGAAGTTTTAATTTTATCCGATTGATTGATCAATTTTCCACAAGATTGACTAGTTTTTGGGACTAATTTTGTGGAATTTAATACAAAATAAGATTCACACGAAAAGGCCAACAAAAAATAATAGCATGGAACGTACGTCGGAAATACATATGTATAACGAAAGTAGAATTTGACCACTTCTTGATTGTTAACGTACCATATCACCATTAATTAATATTAAAAGTCCGCTTTCCATGCTGCTTTTATACATTAACAATGTTTTTAAAAGTAGCCCGCCAATGCTATAGCAAAAAACCAGAGGCTTAAATTATAATGTAACCGTAAACCAATAAAATTCAAAATACCACCAAAATTCATATTTTCAATGTGACCAGAAATTTTAAAAGTAAAAATCAGACATTCACCGGCACAACTTTGTATTGTTTTATAATTTTGAGCGAAATTAAATAAATAAAAAGTGCATAAACATGGGAATTTGTCGGTTCTTCCAGCAGGGCTCCTGCCGCTTTGGCACCAAGTGCACCAACGAACACTTTGACGTAAAGTATGAAAAAGTCGCGCCACAGCGAACACAAATTGAGAGGCAAATAACACAAAAATTGTTGAATTATTACAGAGTGGTGCTGAAGAATGACATGGAGGCCAGCATCAATGGGAAGATGTGGCCCTTCTCGGTATACGGGCCATTCAAGGACAAGGGTAACATTCCCAACTTCATTGAGGATCAGTCCTTCGAGGAGGTCCGCCTGCTCTGCTACGAGGCGAAGCGCCTGAACAGCTTCGATCAGTTCCATCAGCAGTTCAATCGTGAGGTCATGGAGGCCACCAACAAGATGAAGTCAATGGTGCAGGCCACCCCACAGGTGGTCGATGTTATGATCAAGATCTTCGATGCACCAGAAGGTGGCACCCCCGCAGTCGCTGGTGCGCCCAATCAAAATCCCTTTGCCGCAACGGCTGGTAATGCCGCTGGCTCCATCTTTAGCAAGCCGACACTGGGTGGCGGCAACATCTTGGGCGCTGCAAATCAAGTTAATAATACTCAAAGTCTCTTTGGTGGCTCCATGGCTGCTGGCAACACGGGTAACAGCATATTTGGTGGTGGCAATGTTGCTGGTGGAGGAAGTGTTTTTGGACAGCAACAACCACAGCAGCAGCAGCAGGGTGTTGCATCGCAGCCCTTTCAGGGGGGTAACATATTCGCTCAGGCACAGGCACAGCCACAGGCAGCGAATCAAATGCCTTTTGGTGGCTTTCAACAGCAACCACAACAGCAGCAGCTGCAGCCAGGAGCAGGAGGCGGTGTCTTTGGTCAAGCTGCAGTCAATCCCAGTGGCGGTATCTTTGGACAGGTAGCCCAACAGCCACCAAGTGGATTGTTTGCTCAAGCAGCACAAACCGTAGGCTTCCCGCAGCAGCAGCCACAACAGATGATGCAGCAGCAGCAGGCCCAGCAGCAACAGATGATGCAGCAAGCAAATCCCCAACAGCAGCAGCTCCTGCAGCAGCAGCAACAAATGATGCAGCAACAACAGCAACAGCAACAAATGATGCAGCAACAACAGCAGCAGCAGCAACAACAACAGCCTCAGCAACCACAGCAACCAGGCGGCAGCTCCGTTTACAGCACGATGGAATCCTTGACACCCGAAGAAATAGAAGCATTCAAAGCGGAACAATTTCTGCCCGGTCATGTGCCCTTTAATCCACCACCACGTGAATTGTGTTAGAGGAATTCTTTATACGATATAAGCGCATCCCTTGTGCTCTGCCTGCCACATGAAATATTAAATAAGTTTCTTTATAATACTTTTTGGTTTGAGATTAATGCATCATCATGTTCAAGCGCTCCATGTTGATTGAGTACACCGAATGGGAGCCAATTAAGTTGCGATCCCTAAACGCCAGCTGGCAATCCTTGAGCGTGATGAGCGTACGTTCGCTGGGCTCACTGCAAAATGGGAAAGAAAAGTCAAGCAAAATGAAGCAAAAATCAAAATGGTCCGCTTACACTTCTTCGCAGGCGGAGAGAAAGATAACATCATCGTTTTGTCGCCGCATAAAGTTGGCCGTATTCAGCTCCTTGTCCAGCTCTAGGGGTGTATCGTCCACCTTCTGGCGGGTGACAGTGTTCCTGAGAGCGGGATCTCGCAGTGGGGCGCCCACATCGTAGTAAAAGTTGCCTTCGCCGCTGGTTTTGTAGTGTTTGCGCTTCTTGATGATGGTGCCCAGCAGATCCTTGAGCAGCACTTGCACCGCCATGGCCACATACTCAGCCACATTGTCGTCCACGGACACAAGACCAATCTCCCAAGCGCCGATGAGGAAGCGGCCCATAATGAAGCCCGCATCGGGCAGGAACAACTCCTGGGCGCAATAACGTTGAGTGGGCGGATGCTGCTGCATTGGCTGATCACCACTCACGGTGGGCGGTGGTCGTATCACTTGCATATTGTCCTCGGCCACAAAATCCAGCACCTCAAAAATTTCAAAATTTAAACGTTCCGCAAAGGTCCGCGTGCTGCGCTTCCGCCGCTTGCTGCGGTTGCTGTTGCTAGCCTGCAGCGGTGGCGTTGTCTCTACGGGTGCAAATGCATCGATCTTGTTGAGCAGCGCCAGCAGAAACTGGTTGTGCAGATGCAACTTGTCCGGCGACATGATCTTTCGACACTCGCAGTCGAATTCCTCTTTGGTCCAGCGATTGCGGAACCAATTCTTCATGTTGGCTCTGTAGCGCTCCCAGTTGTCGCCCAGTGCGACAACCAGTGCCTCCTTGGTGGCTATCACACGGTCAGTCAGCATTTTTGCAACGTATTTGGATTAAAATTGTTAAAATCGCAGTCCAAAAACAAAACAATACAAAAACAGCAAGAGAGTTTTGTAACAGTGTGACCGAGGATTAATCGGCAAAATATACGGTCATGGCCTCAAAAAAATATACCGAAATATACATTTTCATTTTCAAACTATACCGTAAAATATACCCTAGTCTTAAATCAGATTCCTCGATTTTGATGTTCTATTTGATATTAATAGCTTGCTAAAATTCTAAGCGCTTAAACTATAATTTTATCCGATTATTCATTGAATTCTTCACAAGATCGGCTAGTTTTCATTACCAACCATTTGGTTGGTGAATGAGCAATGTTAACCCCACTCAGCACCACTTTTATTTTTATGCTTATCGATGAAATACAACGTATGTATCGATATTTATATGCGGTTGGTGTCTATTTAAAAAAAATTAATATCCTTTTGTTTTGCAATTGTGACTTATATATACTTATATTTTTTCCAATAAAATAAATTATGCATGCAATAAATACGAATACGAATGAGTCAAATTTGTGGAATTAATTTCCACGGTCCCAGCGCCAGACGGTGCTGTCGTCGCAGACACAAATCAAAATGGAACCATCCTTGGAGAAGGATGTCTGGCGAATGGTTGAGTTGCTCTTCGGATGCACCAGCTGGCTGCACTTGGTCAGATTCGGATCATTGCAGTCGAGTTCCCATACGAATGTGGTGCCCAGCTGATTGCCTAGCGCCAGGACCTTCTGCCACGAATTGAAAGCGAAACGCACGAACCAAATCTCGCACATTTTATAGTCAAAGTGATGCAGGACCGTAGTGGTGGACTCCTGCGGCTTGATATCATGCCAGGGTGCGGACAGCTTGCCGGGCTTCCAGCAGACAATGGAATTCTCGCAGGACTTGGAGAAGACAAAATCCCCGAACCACTGCACGCAGTCCACATAATTCCGATGGATGTCGCGCGTGGAAAAGTCCGGAAAGTGCTCCTTGATGGTGGGAAAGGGAGACGTCGTCTTGCCGGGCACAAAATTCGAGCTCAGCTCGATGGCCTCCTTGATGTCGGGCGTGTCCAGGCGCCACAGCTTCAGCGAGTGATCCATGCCGCTGGACATGATGCGATCACCGCGCAAATCAAAGTCAATGGAGAGCACCTCATCGCGATGTCCCTCCACGCCGCCAAAGACGGCCACGCAGACATCCGTCTGAATGTTCCACAGGCGCAGCGAATGATCCTTGCTGCCTGAGAGCAGCAGCTGCGGCCGCACCGGATGGAATTTGAGCTCATTGATGGCATGCCCATGCCCAATGTAATTCTTGCTGCACTGATGCTTTATGGGGTTAAAGATGCGTATGACACCGCGATAGCCTGCAGCGGCCAGCACTGGATCGCCCGTTATAGTGTCATACGACCAGGCGCACGTATAGAAGCTTTCATCTGTCTGCAAGGGGGGAAGGGGAAGAGGTTTGACATTCATGCATGGGCTGTGCTGTACTTGTACCCACATCTGGATCTGCATAGACCTGCAGCAGCCGCAAGCCACCGTTGGTGTCCTCCTGCTCGTTCCGCTTGACGCACTCGTAGATGGACACACGATCCTTGCCAACGGTGGCAAATACCTGTGGCTGGCCACGCTCCAGAAAGGTATTAAACTGCACACCGAAAATCTGATGATTGTGATCCTCCTTCACATGGGAGCTGGCAAAAGGTTCAAAAAGAGTCACGGGCGGTGGTTCGGGGACTGCTGCACCGCCTCACCTGTACTTGTACAGTGGTGGCACCATTTTGGGTGCCTTGACGCGCCTGCATAAACGGTTCAGCTTGCGCGTATTCGGCGACTTGCTCCTCGTTGTCGTTGTGGTGGTGCTAAACAAGCTGGCGGAATCGTCACGGTCCAGCGAGACGCCATCGTTTTCCTCCTCCCCGTCCATGGCGAGCCCGCCGCCATTTGTTGAGAGTGTGGGCGCAGCGTCTGGCGGTGTTTGTGTAGCCACAGCATCTTCCTCTGTGGGTAGCTCTTCCGCCTGTGGCTCCGATTCACTGGGACTGGTCTCGGTCATGGTCAATGGGATCCTCCAGCTGCAGTGTGACCGCGGACTTATATATACCGCATGACCCGCAAAAATATACCGCTTCACTAACAACCCTGTCTTGGACAATTTGCAATTTATTTAAAACTATTCTTTTTGTAAGTTTAATAACTATTTGGCACGCTTTTCGGTGCTGGTGGCAGAGTTTTTGGCACTAAGCAGCTCATCCAGATGCGCTTCTACCTCTTTGATGGCCTTCACACTGTGCTCGGTGCGCGATGCAATCTCATTCATGAAGCAGCTGCACAGCAGCTCCGCTTTGGTTTGGGTCACCTCCGCGGACGCCTGTTTCAGCTGAAGCTCGTTCACCAGATGCGGGCCCATCTTCAGCTCGGCGGCATCATTGAGCAGTGCGCATTTGCGGCTGAGCAGCTCTCCCTTTTTCTCTAAACTTTCGCGATGCTCCACCTCCAGCCTGATGATCTCCTTTTGGCCCGGATTGAGTTCCACGTCCTTGCTGAACACTTCGGGGAATTCCTCACGTATCTGGTCGCCCAGCTCGGCAATGGGTGTGAGACTTTCCTGCAGCTTTTCCTTCAGACTGGTGCGCAGAGCCTTGCGGTCCGTGTAGGAGAGGGCCGGGGCGATTTTGTCTTCCTGCAGATCTGCCGAAAACATGAAAATGAACAACAGATTTGCGAATCATGGTATCAGGTCTTACCAAGTACATAATCCTGCTGGCCATCGTCATTGCCTAAACGCATAAATTCGCCGATGGACACCAATTTGAGTGCCCGCTTGATTTCGGGGCTCTGATTTTTTCCCATATCCAAGAGGCGCATTGCATCCAGCAGCAGTTTCAACTGCAGCACCTTCTTCAGTTCATTATCTCGGGTTTCCAGCAGCTCCTTGGTGTCAGTGGACATAATTGTTGTGGACGGTAGAGTCTTCATTTTTTATATTTTTATTTGCAATGTCAAAAAAAGCGGGATATGGGTATTCGAAATGCGATCAGTGCACAGGGTTGTTGAACATATATCGATATATCGATGCACTTACATATAAAAAGTGGCCAGCGGATATTTTTCGACCAATCACGCTCCATTTACAGTACTCGGACAGCACTCAAATGCCTAAAACCTATTTGGGATATGGAATCAGATCGGTTGTCAGTAGCTGCTCAGTTTCTGCGGCTGTATTCAAGTTGTTCACATATTAAAATAGACAACCATGTTCAGGTCACACACCTTGCAGTTTTTCATCACTATCCCCGTATTTTGGAGTATTTTCGCAATTTTAGTATTTTAATGCACCAATGTAACCTCAAGAACTAGACCCGGAATGTTTTCAAAAAATCTACGACGCACCCTCATAACCCACCTCCGATTCACTAACAGGAAGCAAAAACAAATTAAATAATGGAACTCGTTGAAATGTTTGATCTGGTAAGGAGTCATCCCATCCTGGCCACCGTCACCATGTTTGCCGGCACCGCCTTAGCCTCGGAGCTACTATGGAAAGCAATCCAATACGCGCGAAGGCACACGCGACGCCGCCGTGTCCACGAGGTTCTCTTCTTCAACGAACTGGGGGAAGTTTGTTTAGACCATCATCGTGGCAAGTCCTTCACAAATACAAATGATTGCCGTAACTCTCACTGCAGCTTGAGGAGCTTGGAGAAGATTGCTGTGCTTATGGATGAGGCTCAATACTCCATTGATATAGCCATTTACACATTTACTTCGAACACTTTATGGTTGGCCCTGAAGCGAGCGCTGCAGCGAGGAGTATCCATTCGTGTGATCAGCGATCGCGAAATGGTTTATTGTAACAGCTCGAAGATACAGGAGATGGCTGCCTTCGGTGTACCTGTGCGCGGACCATTCAAAACCAATCTCATAATGCACCATAAGTTCTGTGTGATTGATGGCCTGGCTCGGGTGCAAGAGATTCTGCAAGTGAAGCAACGAAAGTGGCCGAGACCATACGAAAGTGTGCTGATAAGCGGCTCCGTTAACTGGACAAACACGGGATTCGGTGCTAACTACGAGAACTGCACAATTAGCTCAGACGAGATTTTGACTCGTCAATACCAGGAGGAGTTCAATCGTATGTGGAAGTTCTTTGCGGACACGGCAGAAAAGTTCCTCAAAAGCTGCGTAGAGAAGAGCGAATAAGCAGTGCTAAGCACGCATACAGACAACAAGCAAAACGGCACATTGCAATGCATTGGTATTGGTACGAATCACTGTAATGCAAGTGTTGGTGAACGGCAGAGCATTTTTTTCTTTTCTTTAACTGATATCTGACAATTATCAAATGTTCCTTATAATTCGTATAGATCCTACTTTAAGTTTAACAATTACAAAGACTACAATGAATTTTTAAACTATTTTGCTTGTTGTTTCAATTTGTCAACGCGTCGCGTAAAATTATCCTTGAGTCCATTCAATCGCTCCATCTCGGCACGCAGCTCTAGGTACTCCAAGTAGGAAACTCCCGATTTGAGTAGGATTTCGTGTTTTAGGGCAAGAACGCGTATGACTTCCTTTCGCTTACGATTGAGTGCCGTCAGCTTCATTGTTAGGGTCGAGTCTTTGGGTTCCTTCGATTTCTTTGCGTTCTTTGACTTCTTTGATTTCTGCGGAGCACAATACGATTAGCATTACTTTCAAAGTTTCAACAATTAAACATACCTTACTGGTCTCCATTTTACATTTATTTCCGCGTGTTTATTGTTTACAACCAATTTGGAAGAAGAAGCAGCCGTATTTGGTTCTTCTTAGCTGGTATTTTTTTAGTATTTTATTGACGATTGGTTTTTTTTCAAGAAGCTTTTTGTGGTCACACTGGCGACTCTTATATTGCTTTTTTTGTGAAATTTGTGAAAAAATATTAGAAAAAATGGGATCCTCATCGTCTGGAAAGAAACACAAGAAGGACAAGAAGGCGAGGCATCGCTCGCGGTCCGCAGAACGCCAGGCACGTGCCACAGAGGATGAAGACGTGACATTAGACCTCACAGACGACTCGTCTTCGGGGCGACACAGACATCACAAACACAAGAAGCAAAAGGAGCACAAGGACACCAAAGAGCACAAGGAGCATCGTCACAAGCACCACAGGCACAAGGAGCGTGAGCGTGCCAGCGAAGTTATCTCCTTGGAGGAGTCAGATTCGGATAGTAAGTGTTGCGGCTGGGTGTGGGTTGCTGGTGCAGACCAAGCTCAAGGGCGATTGCCGCGGCCGACAGACCCAAATAGAAAAGCGATTTCTTTGATTTGTATTGGAGCTGCCTGGGGCCCGGCCATAGCCTTGGTGCTGCACTATCCTAGTTCTGGACGTACTAAATTTTGGTGTTCTTCTCTCCGTTTCTTGTTTGTTTTTTGCAGATTCTCCGATGCTGCTGCCGCAGATTGTGAGTGGGGAGAGAAGAAAACCGAAAATTTCATATAAGAAGCGATTCGTGAGCAACGTTGATAGCCCGTTCTAACCTGTGACTCTTCTTTGCAGGCTCGGATTGTGTGGAGGTGCCCGTGGAGCAGACCAAGGTAAAGGAGGCGTCCGCCAGGGAACGACAAAGAGAACGCGAGCCGGAGCCGAGCGTCAGGGAGCGAGCGGGTCGCGAGCGTGATCAGCAGCGGGAGAAGGAGCGTGAAAGGGAGCGCGATCGGGAGCGGGAAAGGGAGCGCGAACGCGACAGGAATCGCGAAAAGGAGCGCGCCAAGGATCGCGAGCGCGAAAGGGAGCGTGAGCGCGATCGTGATCGTGAGCGGGAACGTTATGGTGAGCTCTCCGCTCCACCACCGCCACAAATATCCAGGCACGCGGACTATGAGGGTCGCCGCGAGCGTGAAATTGAACGCGAACGTGAGGCCCGCAAGCGTGCTGGTAGGGAGCGGGAGCGGGGCAACCGAGAACGCTCCCGTTCGCAGTCCCCTTCGAAGTCTGGACGCAAACCTTCCGGCACAGTTGGCAGGGAACGCGAGGCATCCGGACGCGGCTATTCGCCCATACCCGAGAATGGAGCTGGCGATGTGCTCTCAGTGCAGGAAACGAACAAATTGCGTGCCAAGCTAGGCCTGAAGCCGCTCGAGGTGGAGAGTGGACCCAGCAAGGTGGCAACAGCCGCCACAACGAGCGAGAGTAAGAAGTCCAGCGGTGATGGTGATCTGTCCTCGTACAAGGATGAGTGGGGAGAGTTCCTGCACAAGCCGGCAGACAATCTAAAGGAGAAGAAAGAGGCCGAGAAGCTGCGCGAGAAGCTGAAGCAGCGCAAGGAGAAACGTTTCCTCGAAGAGCGTTTGGCACGCATCCGCACGTTGGGCGAATCCGATGAGGAGACGGACAATGTCACCAAGTGGGTGGACAAGAACAAGCGCGTGGTCAACGAACGCGAAGAGGCAAAGAAGAAAGCCAAAGAGCTGGAGGAACTGGATGAGGCATTTGGCATCGCCGACATTGTCGAGCAGGAGAAGCTAAAGGCACGCCAACGAGCCTACGGCGATAACAACTTGAAGGGTTTGCGCGTGGAGCACGATATGGATGACTTTGGTGAGGGTCGCACGGTTATTCTAACGCTCAAGGATCAAGATGTGCTCAACGAGGAGGAGGGCGACACGCTGGTCAATGTCAACATGCTCGACGATGAGCGCTACAAGAAGAATGTCGTCAACAAGAAAAAGAATCCGCTCAGCTATGGCTACAATGTCTACGAGGAGCAATACGATGAGTTGGGCAATCCCATTGAACGTTCCGTGCTGGAGAAATACGACGAGGACCTCGAGGGACAGCCCAAGAAGCGCAAGAACTTTGTGATTGGCGAGAACTCCGAGGAAGATCGTGAGCACAGACGCAGGCTGCTGGAAATAAAGACAAAGCTGGCGGGCAAGCGGCTTGAAACATTGGAGGATACAAATTTGCAGCTGGCCTCGGACACATTCAGCGTGGAGGAGTTGGCCAAGTAAGTTTTTGCAGCTGTTCCTTTTATTTACTCCAACCTAATTCCATACCCTTTCGGTGTAGATTCAAGAAACCCAAGAAGAAGGTTAAGAAAATTCGTCAGAAACTAAAAGCCGAAGACCTCGAACCATTGCCTGAGGCTGGCACATCGAATTTTGGCAGCCGTCATGGACGCCATCGCGAGCCCGAGGATGTTGAAATGAAGGAGGAAATCAAACCGGAGATTAAGTACGAAGCTGAGGAAGATGATGATCTGGAGCGGGTCCTCTCGAAGGCCCGCAAACTGAAGCAAAAGGATAATCTCATCAAGAAACCTTTGCCCATTGGGTTTGAGTCCATACAGCGTGACATCAAGCCGGAGATCATCGATGAGGCCAGTTCGGGTGTGGTGCTGAGCAGCGTGGATGGACACATTGTGCTCAATGCCACGGCAGAGTTTTGTCGCACCTTGGGCGACATTCCTACCTATGGCATGGCTGGCAACCGTAACGAGGACTCCAATGACATGATGGACTTTGATAAGATCGAGCAGCTGGACGATAATATGGATGCGCACAACGATGAGCCGGCGCTGAGTCATGGCACATGGAATTCGGTGAATCCCGATGAGGTTATGCAGCCAGCGGATTTGGACAATTTGGGCGATGACCTGGAGGATCGTGCCATACTCGATGAGGAGCCCGATGTGGGCGCTGGCGTGGCGAATGCGCTGCGCCTGGCACTGTCCAAGGGCTACCTCGAGAGGGAGGAAAAGAACAGGCCCAGTAATACCAAAATGGCACATTTGCAGGCCAAGAATTATTCGATTGAGGATAAGGCAGCTGGGTGAGTGTCGGGAGATTATAATTATGCAAAAATCGATTGGTTATCCCTTGCTAATGTTTATCCTTTCTGCCTACAGGGAAGACGAAAAGGTGGGACGTCGTGATCGTTTCCACTGCGGTCCCATTATGGACTTTAAGGACAAGGAAACCTTCAAGCCGAATGTCAAATTGGATTACATTGATGACAATGGACGCATATTGAACCTCAAAGAGGCTTTTCGCTATTTGTCGCACAAGTTCCATGGCAAGGGGCCCGGCAAGAATAAGATTGAGAAACGTTTAAAGAAAATGGAACAAGATGGGGTAAGTTAAACCACTGCACATACCTCGCTCTTTATAAATTTTAAACTCTTAATTTACTTTATTTTAATAGCTTATGAAGACAATGAGCTCGACGGACACACCATTGGGCACGTTGACCATGTTGCAGCATAAGCAAAAGGAAACAAAAACCGCCTATGTGGTGCTCAGTGGCAACAGCAAGAATGCGGCCGGTGTTAGTGGCTCATCCATAGCCAAATTTAAGTAGGGGAAAACACCAACACAAACAGATCCAAGATAGCCAGAACCAAATGCAATAGATCCCAGCCCAAAAAAAAACTCCCAACCAGCCAGCCACCCACAAAATATGTAGTTCTCTCTTCATATTTATTCAAAGTAATAATAAAATATGTATTCATTTATTCCACTAAAAAGTTATGTGCACGGGCTCATCGCCTTTCACGAGTGTCACTGCAAAAACGGAAAGAAAGGGAAATATTAAAGATTATTCACTGAACTGAACAGTGTTCAGCTGTTCGCTCACTAGTTCAGTGGTGAGTGGTGAGTGAGTCAACAAGTGAACTAGTGAGCGAACAACTGAACCACTGAACTCCTGCGCGAACTGAATGAACAGTGGCAGCTGCGCAAAGTGAGTTAGTTTGTTCACCAAAGTAACACACAACTGATAAATGATAGATTCTCACCATTAAACGATCTGCCCAGCAAAGTACGCTTCTTGCCCTGCACCATGTAAAAGTCTGGACCCGTGCGTGCGCCACAGTTCATTCTGGAGTAACGATTGCTGAAGACCCAGCGACATGTGCTGTGCGAATAGCGCAAATAATTCACCTGCACCTCATCCACACCCAACGGCACGGTGCCAAAGCTCACAATCATTGAGATTTTATCGTTATTTCGCACAAAATTGATGCCACCATAGCCGTAGATGATGGCTTGCAAAAAGCCACCAATGCCGGTGAGGAAATTGGCGGAACCCTCATAGCCCAGCGGCGTTTCGCTCCACACTTTGAACTCCGGACGCACGTAGTTCTTGTAGCCGCGTTCGAAGTACTCGTGGCCCACCCATTCCTCTTTGCTGGTTAGATGGTTGACGGCAAACATGGACCAAGTCATGGCTGGTCCCGACTCTCTGGTGACCTTTGCATAAATGTTCAAATCATTCAGGTGTGTGTTGCTGTTGGAGCAGTTAAAGATTTAAACTTTCTCCCAAATGTAAGGTTCATCCCTACCTTAAATCATATCGCAGTGGATAACCCAGCAGTATGGTATCTGCCTGCTTGATGGTGGTGTTCACCACATAACCCGCATGCTGCGGATGATAATCCAGCTCCGTGTCGTGCAGAATCACCAAGCGATCGTTGACACGTCGCCAGTTTGCGAAGAGCTCCGTGCTATCATTGCCACAATAGCCGCCCGCCCATTCAGCGAATTCCAGCGCTATTTTGGACACTGCATTCGTGTAGACATTATCATCGACATCCGGATGATCCTCGTCGGGTCCCATCACATTCAACAAGTGGCACACGGGACGGAATTCCTCGCAGGCAGCACGACTCACCACAAACTCGGCCACCTCGGCGGCAATGGGCCAGGCCTTCTCGCACACCCAAGTCCAGTCACCCGATTGGGCCAGGAACTTTTGCAGCGCAAAGGAAATGTCTGGCGAGATGTGAATCTCCTGTTGGGCTACCTCAGGGCAGCAGGGATTCGTGACCTCGGTGCCCGTGTAGGCGCTCTCCCAGGGGAATCTAAGGCCGGGAAGAAGTCAGACACTAATGATGTTCGCTCTTGAGTTGCCACCTCTCACCTCGCTCCTTTGTACCCCTTTGAGCGCGCATTGTACTTGGCTGCCTCGAGTTTCCTTCCGCGATAATCCAGCAGCTGCTTGCCATACTCAAAGCCAAAATGTGTCACCACCGGCAGCATCCAGATCTCCGTATCCCAGAAATTGTGACCCTGATAGTCCGCCTCCAGATTGCCACGTCCCAGGCCAGTGGGACTGAGGCCGTAGAAGGGTTCATTCTTCTGATTGGTGCTCAGCGAGGGCAACGAATTGGCTAAGTAGAAAATGCCCGCATTGATGATCTGCGAGAGTTCTGGGGCATTGCCCACCAGCGCAATGGAGAAGTCTCTGTTCCAGAAATTGTGCCACGCATCGGTGTGCTTTTCCAGCAAGCTGCTGGCACTCAGCTGCAGCACATCCTGCAGCTCCTTGAGGGCCACACTCTGCTCTCGATCCATGCAGATGATGATGCGATGTCTCAGCTCCGCCTGCCACGTGGGCCACTCCAATTGCAGTGGCTGCTCCAGGTACTGGCTGAACAGAATGTAAATCTCTTGGGGTGTTGGCTGGAAACGCTCGAATTCGAGGATCTCCGTTCGTCCCCGAATGGTGCGAAAGTCCCCGCTGGCACTGCTGCCATTGGACACGACGACAAAGTCAAAGGCATCGCTGGCATTGCCGGGATGTTGGCTGAGCCGCAGGAACTGTGGAGCTGTCAAGGGGAAACTCTCATCAATGTGTGTTTCCCTGCCTTTCCCTTACTTCTACCTACAATTCGCTCTGGCGGCATTTTCGCTGTTCCTCGTGGCCACCACCTCATAGACCAATGCCCGATTGTAGTACTTGTGCGGGTAAGTTCTCTGCTCCAGGGTTAGCCCCAAGCCGTTGTAGGTTGTTCTCGAACGAAAGTAACCATCCCGCAGATCCATCTCATAGCTGGTGCCATTCACGGCCGCCTCTGCGTCCGTGGCACAACCGAAACGATCGCAGACCTCCGTTGTGATGTTCAGCCAATTGGGTATGCGCGCTCGCTTGCTGTTGCCCGAGCCTCCATTGTACACTCCATTCATGAAGATGGCATCCCCGTAGACCGTGTAGCCCAGATGGCCATTGCCCAGGGTGGGCATGAAGTTGCGGTCTGTGGGGAGACTGTAAGGAGAGGGAAAGATTTGGGTTTATATTTCTAGCCACTAATAAAAGGAGTTGGCGACGCTTTGAGGATACTCCAACTTGAAAGTTATTCCAGTTGCTATGAACCCACAGTATGCAGTTTTTTCAATTATTTTCCCTTCAATGCGAGTTTTTCTTTGATTGATTAGATCAAACGCTTTAAAGCCGATTAAATCACCAATATATGTACGAATATCTTCATGCCTGAGTAGGGAATATTTGTCTATACTCGAAGCTTGTTAAGAATTGATAAGTGAAACGTTAAAAAATATTAAAAAACAATTCAAAGATTGCACAATTTTGTTTTCTGTTCATACATATACAGACGTAAAGTTAAATGAAAGTGAAATTGGGGGGAGGAGAGGGCTGCAAAATATATTTTACATCAATAAATCTAATCACCAAAACTTGGACCTTTTCTATTGAATTTCGGAAGCCAATAATTTCCGCTCTTATGGAGTTAACTCGAGAAAATTCACAATATTAAATATAACTATTTTAAAGACACTTTTTGTAACCCACCTGTGGGACTGCAGCAGGTAAGCTGCCGAGGTCTGGGCATTGCAGCCGCGTAGCACCGCTAGAATCACGACAAAACCAAGAAATTTCAGCATTATTTTTTGGCGAACCGTTCTGCAGCAAAGTCTCGACTCGACTGATTGAGTTCGCGTTGTTCACTTCGGCAATCGGCTGCCAGATGCTTGAGACTGTAGTGATAAGGGCATTGATAATACACAGACCTTAATCTGTGAGAGGGGTTTGGTCGGCGGCGGAGGAGGTGATTGAGCTGAGTGTATAATCTATGGAACTGCATTCACAGCATACTCGTATTGTGTGTGTGTGTGTGTGTGTGTGTCGGAGCTGTGCATACTCAAGGGCTTAAGTGCTACGTTATCAGCTTGCAAATCGCCAAAGGAATTAACTTTAATGGGGTACTAATTTTTGTGATTCCAGAGTCACCTTATCAATCAATTTCAAGCGCGCTCCTCGCACAACAAGAAATTGACTGCCCTTTTGGCTCCAGCTCTGGCCGAATCACGTGTGCACTGGAGTTGTCAAAGAAAGAATTTGTACGAGAAATATCAAACAGTCAAATACATTAATTGAAAATAAAACAGAGAATAAACACACACACACACACTACGTTCCCGCGTTTGTTTCGTTTTTGCACTCTACGCACCGAGTAGCTGTAAAATCTGCGCCCACACATGGCTTGCATTTTGTTATTGTATTTGTTATTCTCTCACCTTGAGGAGGACCAATAACTTATTTACCACGCTCTCTCGGCTCCAAGAGAGACAAGCGCTAGAAAGGGATAGCGATAGAGGTACTGGCCCCCCCCAAAAGAGATTTAACTGTAAATTCATGTTGGTGCGGCGTGTCGCTGCTTGTCGTAGAATAAATCTCACAGCAATGAAAGCATTGGAAGTTCCTATTTTTGGCAATTTCCTCTTTAATCAATTTAATCATATAAAAGAACCAATGCAACGTAGGCATATTTCCCTACTTTTTATATGTTCCTTACTGAAAATGTTCCTTATACAAAATTTCACCATTTTCACATCTCTTCTGTCTAATCAAAGCATATTTTCCCTTCATTATTTTTCAAGTCTTAATAATAAATTCTTGACTATTGATGAACTCATTACGTACAGCTGCATTATTATTGCTGGCCGTGAGTGAGAATCTGCTGGTGGGGGGAAAGTGCTCATAAAACGAGCAGCAAAAACAGAAACATTGAAGAGAGTGGCAGGCCGGGCCTTTGGGCATTGAGGTTGAGGTTTTCCTTAGCTCCGCCAAAGACCAAACCCAAGCTAAGAACCCGATAATATTGTCCCATGCCCATAGGCAATTGGCATTCTTCCCAAGCGCATAAAACAAATAAAAAGAAACCAAAACGTACACACGAGTGTCTGCAGTTTTTTATAGCCCTGATCTGTAGAGTAAGACAAGAAATCGACTTGGGATCAGAGCAAAGATTAGGCCTGACCCACAGACAGAGGAGTGAGGGCTGTGCTGCTGCTGCTGAATGGAGACAATCATGAGAAATCTTCTAATGCCAAAAGGGTAAGAAGGTAAAAGTCAGATGTAAAATAAAAATAAGAGTCATTAAAGATTGACTACTGTCAGGTGGCGGCACATCTCTGTGGTTGGGTGGGCCCTAGACTACATTACGCTGCTCTCCCCTCTCTTCCCCTCCCTCTCTCTGTTTTTTTTTATTATATTTTTCATAATTCCTAGTTACAAGGTAATTATGGCCTTTTGTTGCTGACTCTAATTACCCAAGAGCCCATTCCCACATGGCAACTCCAACTCCAACTCCAACTCGAAACCCTTTTGCTGAGCATTACCTATGGCTGAGTTTCAGTTGTAGCTGCTAGCCAAGCATTACATTACTTATTGTACCATCCGAAAAATATTCAACGCCATCTTAGCATCGCATCTGACAACGAAGCGTAACCAGGAACCCAAGAACCAAACCAAACCAAACCGAACCGATATGCGTTCGTGACTAGAACCCCCCAATTTTGGTACCCCTATCTTAGCAGACTTTTATTCCCTCTTTTAGTTAAGTTCAGCTCAGCATAGCACTAATTTTAATGACGTTACGCCGCGATAGGTTTTCTGCTCAAGATCCATAAAGAAATGCTCAGGTGTTCGCCTCCTCTGTACTTTTGCGGTCTTCGCTCTGACTTGGCACGAGAGCTCCATCTTCATTTTGGATCTCTATGTCTTTTCTCCGTGATTTACCCTTTTCCATTGTCTCGGTCTTATCAACCCCCGCCCCAAAAAAAACACACACACACACACGCACACACACATGTGTGTATCGTTCTCCTATGTACAATTGAAGAAGTCAAAGTCGGGGATGGGAGGCGCTGGCTGTGGCTCTGGCTCTGGCTCTGGCTCTCTATCGCGATGTTGTCGCTTGCCGAAGCGTAACTGAAATATTAAAACAATTTTTTAACCATTTTCAGTTAGTTGTTTTTTTGTCGGCCATTTTGCCCTGGCGGTTTACGTTTTTGGTTTTTTTTTTGTTTTTTTGTAGCTTGGCGTCAGATTTTTGTACCTCCCTTTTTCTCTTTTATAACTCTTTTTGTTTTTTTTTGCCAACCTGTTGGCCAAAAAGTTGCCGTCGAGAAATTTACGCAACGAAGCGTTGCCAATGAGTTTCCGCTTTTTGGAGGCATTGGGGCTTAGTCGTGGGCCTGTTGCCATCCAATGTTCGTAGAGCAAGCAACAAAAAAACAAACGAAGAATGGAAGCATAGAGTTACGAGTATATTTGGGAGGATTCATAGCAGCTGCGCGGGTGGAACGCGAAGTTGCTATAATTGAGTGCAGATTTATTGGAAGCAGGGAAATTATTTGAGGACTTTTTGGGAGAGAAAAAGCACTGAGAAACAGTGGCCTAACCTTTCCCACATCAACTTTCTAATCGACCCCAAAATGTTGACCGAATGATATTTCTTCCCCCTGCCTCTGCCACCGCTGTGTGGCTTAAACATTTGCTCGCATTTTACTCTTTATATTCCAATCCAAATCCCTTCGCCACAGTGGAGTATTTTTCTGCCTAATTTGGGTTGTTGTCTCCGCCCGAAACGAAACGAAACGAAACGAAACGAAACGCGTGTGAAAATTATGTCTATTATGCGGCCAGCAAACAGTGCCCGGTCCATTGTTTATATCATTGGGAGAGAGAATATAAATACAGGCAGCCAAATGATCATTTGCTTTCCCCCCTTGCGTTTGGGTTAAACTTTTTGGGTGTTTGCACCCAACTGTGTGTGCGCTGAGGGAGCTGCCTAATTGTTGTAATTTGCCTAGATATTATATTTATTGTATGCCAGATAATTATGATGATTATCTATGAAACGGAGTGTTTAAACCCGCTTCTGCTGCCCGGCCATGGGAACCAAAAAGAGCCAAAAAGGCTGCCACTCCCCGCACACATTTGCAACTCAATTATGAGAGAAGAAGCGACGCCTTCTGCTGCCTGTTCCAGTTCCATCTTCCTCAGCTGCTCCTATGTAAGTTTCTTCATTATGAATGCACCTGACCATTCGTGCAATTTCAGCTGATAATTTGCATTATTTGTGCCTGCACACAGGTGGCTGCAGCCAGAGATACTTTTCTGTGTGCATCCACAACTATGGCTTTTGCCTTATTCATGGCTGATCTCACGCGCCAAGCGCTGGCTTTAATTACACTAGCCAGCAGGCGTGTGATTTGACGAGTACAAACAATAAACAGACAAGTTCAAGAACGTAAAGTAATCAACAATAAACATTTGTGCCAATATTTGCAATGGAAGTTTCAAATTGCAAGTGCTAAAATTTCAAGTGGAATATGGAAGGGAATCAATACTTGATAGGCGGGCGCCACAGATTGAAAGCGTGTCTGGACATTAAGAGTATTAGTTAATAATTATTATAGGTTATTGTTGTTATTAATATTATTATTATTAATGTGGCACAAATGTGCAATTCTTGCATATATATTTTATTATATTTTAGATATTTTCCAACTATTTATTTATTTTTTTATAAATTTCAGTTTGTGTTTTATTATTAATATATTTTTCCAACTATTTCTTTATTGATATATTTTAGTTTGTTTGTTTTTTATTAAATTTGCATTAAATTTTTCTTTTATTTTATATTCCTTTTTTTATTTGCCTTATTTTGTTGCCTAGTGTTGCGCTTATTGCTGACTCCGCTGGCTGCTGTCCCATGTGCAGTGCCTGTGACCTTTTCGCGGCTGCACTCCAATTCAATTACAAACAGAAAGAGACAGCGAAAGAGACGGCAAAAGGGAGAGGGAGAGCGCGAGAGCGCGAGAGCGCGAGAGCGCGAGAGCCTGTGCAAAAGATAATTATCAGCATGAGGCGCAGGTTTTGGCGATTGATATGTACATTTTTGCACTTGCTTCATTTGTAATGCGTAAGTCATGGCACCAACAAAATAAAGTGCAACGGCAAGAAGAGATCAGCGAACCCTTCGGGTGTGACATGTGGAGACGCTTGGCTGCCTCACTAACTAGAGGCAGAGGCAGAGGCAGGTCAGGTTAGTGGAGAGCGTGGGAAAGGAGTGCCACAGGATGACGCGACAGGCAACAGTGGCATAAAGGAAATTGTATGCCTGAATTTTGGATCCCCCACTTGCGGGTTGGTTAAACATTTGATGTAATTTTACAGCTGCTGCTTGGCTTAATGCCCAAGACAACAGCCACACCAAGCGTAACCGCAGAAGAGAAGAAAACTGCTGGCAGAGAAGTATCTGCAGAATGTATCTTTGGCTGGAGCTGGAGCGCGTGCGCGTTCAGTCAGCGTGATTAGGGTTTAGGCCATAACTACGGCCAGATGGATGAACAGATTCCAATTATTACACCTGTTGAGCGCGGTCAGCGAGACAGAACAACCCGAAGATTTGTTTCTTTTTGCTTATTATTATTATGTTTTTCTTTATGCATTTTCATGGAAGTTACTTGGAGCGTGCTTCCTGCTACGCAACTATCCATCAGCTCATTGTGGCCTATGGAGCTGGTGTCGGGGCTGTGGCTGCAGAGTGAAAACTCCCCTTAGATGGCCTGGTGATAGCGCTTCCATTCAGCGCGGACAGCATCGAATCCTCATCAATGACTGGGGCCATCAGTTCATAAATATTT